AGAAAGAAAGAAAGAAAGAAAGAAAGAAAGAAAGAAAGAAAGAAAGAGAAAAGAGAGGAAGAAAAAGGAAAGAAAGAAAAAGGGACAAAGAAGTGGGGAATGAAAGGAAGGGACAGAAAGAAAAAGAAATAAAGAAGGAGGGAGAGAGGGAGGAGAAAGATAATGAGATATCTATTCTAGTCCAATCACCTGCTCCAGCAGGGTTAGAAGGGTGTGTGTGTGTGTGTGTCCTCCTTGTAATTTACCAGTACATTTTGGTTTTGCCTTCTTCAGAATTGGCACTGTAATACATTGGGGCAAAGTAATTTTTAGGGTGGAGATCTGGTCCAATGGATCCTGTTTAAAGCCTCAACAAAATGTGAGAGCTTCCTGATAGTCTTGATCATGTTTCGTCCACAAAACCTTTAACAGAAGCCAAAGATGTTTCAGTGTGGAAAAGGGCCTCAGTCTAAACTAGGCCTCATTTCAATCTGATGCATCAGGTCTCTCTCTCTCTTTCTCTCTCTCTCTCTCTCACTCCCTCTCTCCTTCCCTCCCTCCCTCTCAGACTGGCTTTGCTCTACTTTCCCGATGTGCCTGCGGGTCCTGCGCTTCAAACATGGAAGAATGGATGGATAGATAGAGAGAGAGAGAGAGACAGGCAGGCAGGCAGGTAGGTAGGCAGGAAGGCAGGCAGGCAAACAGACAGAGCTTTTGGATGGATGGATGGGATGGATGGATGGATGGACAGACAGACAAATGGAACGACATGGATGGACAGACAGACAGACAAACAGACAGAATGTGACAGTGGCAGCATGTTGGGAAAGTGGTGGCGGTGGCTTTTCCCAATGTGCTGCTGCATTGGAGGCGCCGGCTCCAGAGCGGTGCTAGTCAATGGGTGAACCTGCAGGGCTGGCCGGCGCCTCGAATTGCCCCCCTGACACCTCTTAGCGTCCCCAAGGGGGCTGGCAGAGGGGCGCTAAGGGGTGGCAGGGGGGCATTCGAGGCGCCAGCTGGCTCTGTAGATTCATCCGTTGACTAGCACCGCTCTGGAGCCGGCGCCTCAATGGGTGAACCTGCAGGGCTGGCCGGTGCCTCAAACGCCCCCCTGCTGCCTTAGCACCCCTCTGCTGGCCTGCTTGGGAACGCTAAGAGGTGGCAGGGGAGCGGCACATTGAATGCGGCCGCGGCGGCATGTAACGTGCCACCACTTCCACACTTGAGGCTCTGGAACGGTGCTACAGTCAATGAGTGAACCTGCAGGGCCAGCGCCTCGAAAACCCCTTTGCCGCCTCTTAGCACCCCCCTGCCGGCCACCTTGCCTCTTAGCGCCCCCCTAAAGCATCCTACTGCCCCCCAGGGGGCGGTACCACCCACTTTGGGAATCACTACTGTAAAACAAAGGAAAGATGTTGACCGTTTGAAAGCCCTCTTTGCTATGCAGCTGATAATGGACTATTGCCTACACTTTCTTTGCAGAAAGTTGCACCTTCAGTTCTTTGTATTTTCAGAGAGGGCTGGAAATAATTTATACAGTATTTCAGACTCCATCCTCACAAAAAATTATTCCATCTACATTGTTGTTGGTCCTGTGCTTTTCCTCTTTCCTTCCACGTTTCCCAATATTATAGACTTTTCAAAATACAAGGTCTCTGCATAATCAGAATACGGTAATTTCAGCCTGATACAGATAATCAGAGTTGGAAGGGACCTTGTTGGTCATCTTGTCCAACCCCCCGCCCAAGCGGGAGACCCTACACCATTTCTGACAAACGGCAGTCCAATCTGTTCTTGAAAGTCTCAACTGATGGCACTCCCACAACTTCCAAGGGCAAGCTGTTCTTTTGGTTGATTGTTCTCACTGTCCCTATTAAGGTCAGCAAGGGCACTGTATCTGTTATGCTGGGACACAGCAAAAGTTTTGTGTTTATGTTCTACAGCTCTCACCCTACCAGATCCCACGGTTGTCCATACTGCCCTTTTCCTGTAGGATCTTTGTAGTAGTGGGGGCTGGTAGCATGGCAACTCAATAGGTGGCCGGATTGGGCACCTAATTTCAGATTAGAGATTCTAGATAGGTAATCTGTCCATGTAGACTGGTAATTTTTTTACAAAGAGGACAGTATCCATGTTTCAAAAGAGTACTGCGAAAGACAGCTGTAAAACAAGTATTACACTGAGCTAAGCCAGTCATTTTGAAATAAAATAAAATCACAATCTCAAGGGCACTTACTCTAAATGTCTTATTGGTATTCTTGGTTTATAGTTATATCTTTCTCCTTTCTATTCACCCTCTGCTTCCTTCACAAGCAGCCAGCAGCTCCTCCCACAACCTCTGGGAATTTGAAATGCAATGGAAGCAATTCAAACTGCCTCTCTTTTTTCTACTCACCCTCTGCTTTCATTGATCATTGTGCCTTAGGTAAGAACTCTGGATTGATTTGTTTGTTGTCTTGGCTATTCATGGTATTATCAGGAGTTTTATACCGTGTTTCTCATATAATAAGGCCGGGTCTTATTTTTTTTGAGCCCCGAAAAAATGGCTAGGCCATCTTTTTGGGGGTGACTTAATTCCCGCACCTTGCATCTTTGGATGGGCGGGTGGCAACGGCTTGGATGTTGACCTCGGCGTTGGTGGGGCACTTTGTATCAGGGTCAACACAGGCAGCACCATATCTGGATGTGCAACAAAAGTACTTCCTAACAGCAAGCCCCCCCATTTCGCATGTTTTAATATAGGCCTTAATTTGGGGGGAGGGGCTTAATTTCATTTCATGCCTATAAAACATGCTGGGACTTCCTATTGGGGGAGGCCGTATTGTTGGAGAAACAGGGTAGTTAAAATATTTTTTCTAACTTGCTTCTTCAAAACTCACTTTTGCTTTCTCTGAATATCACAGGGGAAAAACATTACCTGCATGATTCTGATATTTTGAGTTATAGACCATTTATGACAGTGGTGGCTAAGCTTTTTGGGTTCCTGCACCAAAAATTGTGCGCTCGCATGCCAGTGGGAGAAGAAATGGAACAGCAAATCAAACTACAAATATGCATCGATCACTTCTTGTTAGCAACTGACTTCTGATTTACTTTTCTCAGAGAAGGAATTACAGATCTTACATGCTAAAATGTTAGCCTAGGCTAAACTTTGATTGCCAAATAGTGATTATACAAGCTCATATAATTGATGGATGAACCTTCTGTTGTAAAGCTGATCAACTATATTTCACATTTTTCCTAGAAAACAGTAATCCCGTACTGAGAATATATTTGGAAACATCATGAACAAGCAGCATTTTTCCTGCTCCCATTTTCACAAATGAACAGATTCTTAATATCTCAAATGTGAAACCATACAAAAAATGCCCACAACCCCCTCCCCCTGCAAAAACTCCACCATTAAATAGATTCAGATCTGGTGAAATTATAAGGTTTCTTCTTTTCCTGTATTTTCCAGGTGGCTTGATAACTTGAATCTGAGAGTAGGGGCTACTTGTGGCTCTCCACCAAATGTATATAGCCAAAAAGTGAAGCTTGTCACCATCTTCCAAAGTTTCCCAGGGTGGAATATACAGAAGGTCAAACAAGCCAGCTTAACTGTATCTGAAATCAGGGATGGGACTCGCTCCAAATGAGGGATGCAGGTGCCGAGTTCAGGAGTGAAGGAAAACAAGAAAAGTAAAGCATGAATGAGAAGTCCCTTGATATAAACATACTTTCAGTTTCTCATAACGATAAGAAATTTGAAAAGGAAGACCTTGGTATATGCTTTTATCTGTTGATCTACATTATTTGTCTAGTTACAATGATCAATCCGTAATGTGAAAAACAAAGTACATTCAAAATTATGCATAATATAGTTATTGTCTATAAACTATTATAATTTGGAAAATATGTACATTTATTTTCCTTTATATACAGTATTTAGCTACAGTAATTGTAGGGCAATACAAATTGACCAGTCCATTTGGAAAGCAAGATTTAAACATGTTTTCCATATGTTTGCTTTAAAAAAAAAACCTGATTTAACAATTAAAATTGTGAAGTTTGTGCTGTATTTATACTGTTTCTGAATTGTGCCTTGTTCTCCAAGTGGGTACCAATTAGATATGTTGAGACTACAACTCCCAAAATTCCTAGCAAGCACAGAAACTGATTCTTTTCGGTGTAGAAGAATGATGCTTTGGGTAAATCTATGCTGTTGTGGCTCCGGGCTTGGATTCAGCTCCTGTGATTGATATGAGTTCAAGTGAAGAGGTTATGTCAGAACAATATGAACCAGCCTGGCTTACTGATTGGACTGATAACCAGGATGAGGAGATGGACGTGACAAAGGACGACAGACCTGATGTATTAGAATTGTCAGGACCTTTGACCTCCTCTGGTTCCTTATCTGATCAACAGCCGGGAATGGCTGACAGGGAAGTTTTGAGAGAGTCTTCTAGTGGAGATGAGAACTTGGAAAATTTGTGGTTAAATGTAAAAAATAGAAGACGGTTGAAAAGGCAAAATCAGCTGGAGCAAATGAGAAGGGCAAGTCAGTAAATTAGCACGTTGCCTTAATGAGTATAAAAGGACACAGCTGGGCTGGTGCATTTCGCCAGGAACAAAATGACTATTTGAGTGAGGACGTTACAGCAAAGAGCTCTGAGGTTGAGGATTTATTGCCAGGACTGGTTTGCCGGACAGAGTAAAGATTTATGCTGTGGTTTCTGCCAGCCGTTATCTTGTAAGACTTCTTTCCGTTTGATTTAATTGTGAAATGGCTGCTTTCTGTTTTGTTCGTTTGAATTTCGAAGGGGAGTCATAACACTATGCTACAACCGAATTGGAATGTTACCTATTGCTCTGGTCACAACACTACAAATATCATATTGCAAAGCTGAAATAATACAGGAAAAGGCAAGCAATATTATCAAAGGGCTAGAGCAGGGGTCCCCAACCACCGGGCCGCGGACCGGTACCGGTCCATGGAACATTTCCTACCGGGCCGCCGGTTTGCTGGGCGCCACCATCTTGTTTGATGAGAAAGTGCTTCCGGGTGAGCTTTTCCGGTTGGAAAGGGGCGTTTGGGTCCTGAAGGAATCCTCGTGCCTTAGTTTCATCGAAGTGGGGGGGCTTCGAACGAAATGAAGGCATGAGAATTCTTTCAGCACCCAAGGCAAGGCGAGCCGAGCGACCGTCCTGAAGCCGTCCCGAAGTGAAGCCCATCGACAAAGGTACAAAGGAGGAGTTGAAGGTGGCGGGGAGAAGCAGGGGACGGCTGGCTGGCCGGTCGCTCAGCTTGCCTTGCCTTGTCATGCATGCTGATGCCGGTACCGGGCCGCAGATCATTTTGTGATGCCGGTACCGGGCCGTGGCACAAAAAAGGTTGGGGGCCACTGGGCTAGAGCACAGAGTGGTGAAACTAAAATTATGGCCTTGTAAAAACTCTTCCAAACAATTTGAGGCATCATAGAACTTCTTCTGTTGACAGTCGTTAAGATCTCCCCATTTTGTCTTGGGAAACTCTCCTCCATTCAGGAAATAAAAAACACTGCCTCAAATATTTATGAGTTGATGAGTATTTATGACTCATTCAATTATACAGTAGGATTTTAAATTTTTTTGTAGTTATATAAATTATTTGTACATGTTCCCAAATACTTTCAGAATTTATGCTGCTGTTGACATTTCAGGCTTAAGGATGTAAAATGATTGACTTCTTATTTTTTCTCCTTTCACAATTAAATGTACGGCCGGCTTGTTAGAACAATTCATTTCTTGGCACTTGTATATCAAAGCTGTGATAACACATTTCAATGAATGTTACTGGTAGTATCATCACCTTTTGAATGATACCCATCTTATCTAGTGTCCTTATCAGATGTAAAGTGGGTCTACTGGGTTGGGGCTTATAGATGTGCATGCTTAAACTGTCTTCTGTTTGAGTTCTAGGTAAATTTGCCCACGGCTAATCTGGTCATAAGAGACCATTGCTGTATCCTGCTATTTCAACTGTTGAAACAATAAATCAGTTATTGAATCTTGATACTTTTTAGAGTTTTCCACTACACAATCCTGCCCCTGAATGGGATTAGTGGTTCTTTTCCCCAGAGATAGACATTGTGAACTATGTGGCCCCTTTCGTATTAAATATACATTGCTGGAAAAATGCCCTATCATAGTAAGGCACTGAGCTCCTCAGCTTTCTTACCCATTTTCCTCATCTGTTATTTATTTCAGCAGAAAACTTTTCTTGAGTACCAGCCCAATAACTTGCTTCGAAGGCAGTCCATGGTTGACTGAAATAGTGATGATTACCATGGTCAGATAAATTTCAAATGCATGTCACTGCCTTTCCACAGAGTTTTATAATGCAGAAATTCATTCATAGTAGTATGCAGAGCAGCATTGTAGACCTGCCTTTTTGCATGATGGATAGAATATATGTTCTAATAATTGTTTCATAGGCCGATCACATCACAAAAAAAGCTAGAGTACAGTCAAAGAGGTCAGCAATTCACCTTCCTTGATTCGTGAAGGAGTGCTGTGCAGAATCATTGATATTTATGCTGCTTGACCTTCTAGTCCACATCCTCATCTTTTAAACAGCTAATGAGCACTGGGCTCACGGTTGCTTCTGTTTTCATGTCCCCCTCTTTTAAGCAGGCAATTGCAATAGAGTTTGTTGGGGTTACTGGTTCCTTAACTCCATCCTTTAAGCAGCAATGTGTATCAAGGCTTGTTGCAGCTTCAACATCCATGCTGCCATCCTGCTCATCTGCTATAGAGATTTCTGGGGATTCTAGTTCCATGCCTTCATCCTTTAGGCAGCCAATTATCACAGAGTGTGCTGGAGCTTCTTGATCCATGTCCTCATCCTTCACTGGCACTGAATGTTCTGGAGTTTCAAGCCTCACCTTTGGGTCTTCAAGCACTTCTTTCACTTGCACAGCAACAAAGGCTAGGAAACACAGAAAAGGCCACTGTTCAATTACAGAATAAAAATCTAAAAGGTCTTACACGTGAGCAAAATGCTAGTGATAACCTATATTCCTAAAAAGAATAGTCACTGTTCACATATGGATAAGGAAAATTAAAAACCAAACAAAAATATTTCTAGATTCACATTTTATTGTTTATCAATTTATCCAGAGAAACAAAATTATAGATCGTGCCATGAGTAACTCCCCACAAGATTTCAATATTTTCTTCAAAAAGTTTTAGCAAACTGCTGCTTTTAAAATAATACTGTCTATTTTCAAAGTCTACATTGAAAGTTTTATTTTTTTTTTGCAATTGTATTTTTGCAACAGTGCAGGTTTCAAAATTTTCCACATATAAGGAAATCAAGGTAAATCTTTAAAGTGAAGGCATTTTGGAGTTATTACTGACAGTCATAAAAGAAGTCACTATCGACTGCTCTTCATTTTATGATCTCTTTTGTGGTAGTTATTAAGTGAATGCTGTAGTCATTAAGCTAACATTGCAATTGTTAAGGAAGCCCATTCTTTGCTATGGGGCATTTTTTTTGCAGTAAACTGGAAGTAAACAGCAATTTCTGGCAAAAGTATTGTAAATCATGGTCATGTGACCACAGGGTCCTGCAAATGGCCATAAATGTGGGTTGGTTGCTGATCACCCAAAATGCAGTCACATGATCAATGGGCAGGGTGGATATCATAACTTTGAATCTAGGTTGTAAATCCCATTTTCAGGGCCTGTAGTAATTTTGAAGTTACCAAGTGATCGATCATAAATTGAGAACTATCTATATTATGGTAGCTCTTACAAGTTACATTGCAAACCTGTCCATGAAAATCTTCCCAAAATGCAGTTAAGCAGGTTAAAATGTGCATGTTAGCAAATTTCTTAAGACTACGCTCTTCCTGCTCATGTTTACAAATTGGAGAAATGAAGCACTATATCCTTTTCCTTACTTTCAGGCAGTACTTTTGAAGAAATCTTGGATTTAGCTTGTCTTGCCTCCATTTTTGAAACAGTTGGTGTTCCCTCCTTTGATTTTGAAGTAGGCAGCTTTTTGGTAACTTTTTTTTCTTCCTTTGTTTTCGGAGTGATCACTTTCTTAGCTGCCTCCTTGATGGAGCGGGCTTTAGCAGTCATCTTTTTTCCTTAGCAAATGGAATAAAAACAGTCATATATCTACCTCACAACTCTGCCAAAGGCCTCATAGCAGCTCACTTGTATCCGGGCTGTACAATTATATACAGGGTGAAGATACTTATATCCATTTTTTTTCTTTTGAGAAAAAGTTTTATTGATTTTAACAACAAATAAAAACACATAAAATATAAAACATAAAAACATCATCCTCCTTCATGAATTTACAGACAGTGTATTGGTTGGTTTACCACTTTTTTGTGTGCATCCATTTCATGGTCTCCATTGTAGTTATATTACGTAATAGCTCATATTATCAATCAATAATTATATAGCCTGATATCATTATTAAACAATCATTTGACTATAATTTTATTAATTCATACTTTGACAAGATAACTATAATTTACTTAATTTATTTTATAACAAATCATAAAGTCATACCAAGTCTATCTTAATAAAGTTTTATAAAGATAGTATCAAAGAAAAAATATATACTTCTGAATATATACTTCTTTTTTTCTTTTTTTTTCATCAATTTTTTTCTGTAAAACATCTGCACATAAAACATGGATGTTTTTCATGGCTAACTAATGTACAATTTTGGGGAAAAATATTAAGCAAACAATGTGAAGTGATCCCAAAAATGCAGCTGAAATGATACATATGAGATCCTGGCTGATTACCTCAATAAGGATTAATAATCTAAACTCAGCTATGAGACCAATGAAGCAGGTGTATTAAGGCAATCATACATCCAAACTGATCTCATTGATACAAATCTTATTAAAGGTCATTTTAAAATTATAATTACTAGAAACTGACACATACTGTATATTTAATATACCTGCCTGGGTAACTCAACAGAAGCATCAATATTATCAACTGCCTTGGAGATGTCTCTTAACATTTGGGTACAAGGTCCTTCCAACTTGTTTGTTTGTTCATAAATTTCTATGCATCCATTTCCCCTACAACAAGGTGACTCTGGGTAGCTTAGTTAAAACGCTTCTTCAGTGGGAGCAACCTGAGGCTTTAAGCATGTAAAACTAGTGCACATTATAATAGTAAAACAGTAATTATCATTTACA